AAAAATGTCAAAATCTCATCCCGCGCGCTCTTGCGGATTCGTAGGAAACCCAACACTTTTTAAACATTTCTGTCAAACGGGCTTTTGCGAGCAACTTTTTCGAACTTCTGCAACAACGGTTGCGCACCTGCCAGGGCCATCATCCCTGTCAAATAATACCATGCGGGACACATTCGTTTTTTCTTCGCGCGCGCACGCCGTCGTCGTCGGCCGCGGGGCCCTGAATAGTAGCCACGGTCGTCCGCATGCCACGAAGTGAAGTGTCCGAACGTCATAGGGCGGGAAGCTGGGTGTGGGTGGTGGCGAAGAGTCGTTTGGAAATTTGGTAGAGCTTGAACCGGCCCCCCCACAAAGTGGGGGTATTGCCCGCCTCCTATGAAAACCCTGGCACTGGTGAGAACGGAGTGTCCCCACGTGCTAGTAATTGTTGTTGAACATTATTTCTTCTTAAGAATAATTATTGTTGGGACCCCTGGTGCGCGACCCCCCCGCCGCGCCTAGGCCGCAGCCACATTTTCATCATTTTCGTGAGGAAGTCTCAGGCAAAACGATTGGTACCGGATCCGGTTTTTTGTTGACGCTCGTTTTCCCTTGCAAAAAACAATAGAAAATGAAAATTCTTGTTCTTAGTTGATCAAATTGCAAGAATCCCTTGCAAAAAATAAGGTAAAGTGGACATTCGTGCGCGCAAGACGAAATCCTTCCAAAACCTTAGGTTTCGTAACGATTTTAACATAAAAACATCAAAAACCCAATGGTTTTTTAAGAAAAAATTGTCAAAATGTCCTTCCGCGCGCGCTGTCCGAATCCCACAAAACCAATGGTTTTTCAACATTTATGTTACATGAGCTCGCGCGAGCTACTTTTTCTTGTTCTAACATAATCAAATTTCAATAATCCCTTGCAAAAAATAAGGTAAAGTGGACATTCGCGCGCGCAAGACGAAATCCTTCCAGAACCTTAGGTTTCGTAACGATTTCAACATAAAAACATCAAAAAGCCAATGGTTTTTCAAAAAAAAATGTCCAAATTTCATCCCGCGCGCGCTGTCCGACTCCCACAAAACCAATGGTTTTTCAACATTTATGTTACATAAGCTCGCGCGAGCTACTTTTTCTTGTTCTTACATAATCAAATTTCAACATCCCTTGCAAAAAAAAAGTAAAGTGGACATTCGCGCGCGCAAGACCAACAAAAAACACGACGATCTCAGGAACTTGCCCCAAAAATGTGGCCAACTCCGCTCTCTCTGTCTCTCTCTCTGTCTGCTCTCTGTCTCTCTCTGTCTGTCTGTCTGTGTCATGTATTGTATGTCACAATTGCAGGATGCTGGGCACACGCGCGCCCCGAATAAGTGACCAAGTTCTGTGGGTGTGTACCCCACGCCAGTGTAGTAGCCACGGTCGTCCGCACGCCACGAAGTGAAGTGTCCCAACGTCATAGGGCGGGAAGCTGGGTTTGGGTGGTCGCGAAGAGTCGTTTGGATATTTGGTAGAGCTTGAACTGCCCCCCCACGAAGTGGGGGTATTGTCTCGCGTCGCATGAAAACCCTGGCACTGGTGAGAACACTGAGCGTTCGGGTAAAATGATTGTTGTTGTTGTTGTTGTTGTTGTTGTTGTTGTTGTTGAACATTATTACTTCTAAAGAATAATTATTGTTGGGGCCCCTGGTGCACGGCCCCCTCGCCGCGCCTAGGCCGCAGCCATGTTTTCATCATTTTCGAGCGAAAGCCCTTGACAAAACGATGTGATCCAGATCCGGTTGTTTTGTTCCCCCCCGCTTTCCCTTGCAAAAAACAATTTTTACAATGACATTTCTTGTTCTAACATAGCCACATTTTAAGAATCCATTGCAAAAAATAAGGTAAAGTGGACATTCGCGCGCGCAAGACGAAATCCTTCCAAAACCTTAGTTTTCGTAGCGATTTTAACATAAAAACATCATTTTTTTTTTTTTTATAAAAAAAAAAAAAAAAAAAAAAAAAAAAAAAAAAAAAAAAAAAAAAAAAAATTGTCAAAATTTCATCCCGCGCGCTCTTGCGGATTCGTAGGAAACCCAACACTTTTTAAACATTTCTGTCAAACGGGCTTTTGCGAGCAACTTTTTCGAACTTCTGCAACAACGGTTGCGCACCTGCCAGGGCCATCATCCCTGTCAAATAATACCATGCGGGACACATTCGTTTTTTCTTCGCGCGCGCACGCCGTCGTCGTCGGCCGCGGGGCCCTGAATAGTAGCCACGGTCGTCCGCATGCCACGAAGTGAAGTGTCCGAACGTCATAGGGCGGGAAGCTGGGTGTGGGTGGTGGCGAAGAGTCGTTTGGAAATTTGGTAGAGCTTGAACCGGCCCCCCCACAAAGTGGGGGTATTGCCCGCCTCCTATGAAAACCCTGGCACTGGTGAGAACGGAGTGTCCCCACGTGCTAGTAATTGTTGTTGTTGTTGTTGTTGTTGTTGTTGTTGTTGTTGTTGTTGTTGAACATTATTACTTCTAAAGAATAATTATTGTTGGGCCCCTGGTGCATGGCCCCCCCGCCGCGCCTAGGCCGCAGCCTCATTTTCATCATTTTCGTGAGGAAGTCTCAGGCAAAACGATGTGTACCAGATCCGGTTGTTTTGTTGTCCGCTTTCCCTTGCAAAAAATAAGCTAAAGTGGACATTTCTTGTTCTAACATAACCAAACTTCAAGAATCCCTTGCAAAAAATAAGGTAAAGTGGACATTCGCGCGCGCAAGACGAAATCCTTCCAAAACCTTAGTTTTCGTAGCGATTTTAACATAAAAACATAAAAAAACCAATGGTTTTTCAAAAAAACTTGTCAAAATTTCATCCCGCGCGCTCTTGCGGATTCGTAGGAAACCCAACACTTTTTAAACATTTCTGTCAAACGGGCTTTTGCGAGCAACTTTTTCGAACTTCTGCAACAACGGTTGCGCACCTGCCAGGGCCATCATCCCTGTCAAATAATACCATGCGGGGCACATTCGTTTTTTCTTCGCGCGCGCACGCCGTCGTCGTCGGCCGCGGGGCCCTGAATAGTAGCCACGGTCGTCCGCATGCCACGAAGTGAAGTGTCCGAACGTCATAGGGCGGGAAGCTGGGTGTGGGTGGTGGCGAAGAGTCGTTTGGAAATTTGGTAGAGCTTGAACCGGCCCCCCCACAAAGTGGGGGTATTGCCCGCCTCCTATGAAAACCCTGGCACTGGTGAGAACGGAGTGTCCCCACGTGCTAGTAATTGTTGTTGTTGTTGTTGTTGTTGTTGTTGTTGTTGTTGCTGCTGCTGCTGCTGCTGCTGCTGCTGCTGTTGTTGTTGTTGTTGTTGTTGTTGTTGTTGTTGTTGTTGTTGTCGTTGTTGTTGTTGTTCCCATCGTTGTTGTTATTGTTGTTGTTGCTGCTTGCTGTTTGTTGTTTGTTGCTGTCGCCCCGCCCGCGACATGGCCTGCGACCCACTCGCGACCCATTCGCGACCCACTCGCGACACACCCGCGACCCGCCCCCCGCCCCGCCCCGCGACCCGCCCGTGACCCGCAGCGACCCACCCGAGACCCACGGCGCGACCCGACAGTGACCCAGCCGCGACCCACACGCGATCCACGCGCGACCCACTCACGACCAACCCGCGGCCCACCCGCAGCCCACCCGTGACCCGCCCCACGACCCAGCCGCGCCCCACCCGCGACCCACCTCGCGCCCTTCCGTTCGCCCTTACCCGCAATTGCGGGGCGTTGCATACAAATGTTGTGACCGCAATGGCGCTCTTTGGTGGGAACTAGCCAGCGCGTTTCAAAAGCAGCGCTGGTGCGCGGGCACTTCAGTGCGGGTCGGCGACTTGGGCGGTCGCGGTCTCATCATGACGTCGACAATGGCGACGACGTCGACGATGACGGCGATGATGGCGGCGGCGGTATTCCCGACGGTGGCGATGATGACGAGGGTGGGAGTGAAGGCGATTGCAGTGATGACGCTGGCGATGGTGATATCGATTGTGATGTTGAGGACGACTTGTCTTGCCGCACCAATTAAAAACTGCTTTGCTTCTTGAGCGTTCAGCGAGCGTGCCTGCACAATTCTGATTTTTGTTGAAGCGCCAACGAGGTTTGCTATACTGTTGGGTTATGTCACGCTGTTTAACGCAACGCGTTTTTTTGGGGGTGGGGGGGTGGTGGGGAGGGGAAAACCATTTAAACGCGCGCGATGCGGTGGGCGCAGGTGTGCAATCATGTGTTTTTTTTCGCAATGGGTTCTCGGCAACGGCACTTCCAAGATCAATGCAAGTGCACCGCATAGCGCTTTTGCAGGGGATGTCGGGGTGAGGGGGGGGGGTCGACACGGGCCTGGCTGGGACAGTATGGTTTCATATGGGAATCGAGGGGGAACGAGAATCATATGTAAACTGTGCCACCCCAGGTGGAACAGCTAACCCCGGACGTGGGAATGTGCTTGCGTTTTTTGGTGTTTGCAGGAAAGGAGGATGTATATGGTGGTTGTGATGCAACCTATGTTGTGCAGTGGGCGGTGCAAACTAACATTACGGTGTTCCCCTGCTTCTCTTGTGCCCCATCCTGTTTGTGTTGCTTCAAGTTTTTCGTCTTACCCCCGCTTTTGGCTCCCGTATACCTGTTGGTGTCGCCCCCCCCCCGTGGGCTGTCGTTCCTCTTGCAGCCAGGTATCGTCTGTCGTCCTTGTCGTTGTCGTCGTCGTGGTATTCGTCGTCGTCGTGGTCATTATTGTCTTTGTCGTCGTGATTCCTCCACCCCGTCTTCGCCGCCGTCTTTGCCGCTGTCGTCGCGGCCGTCGTCGTCGATGTTGTTTCCGATGCCGCTGTCGCTGTCGCGGATGTCGTCGCCGTCGCAGTCACCGCCGCCACCGCCGCCGTGGTCGTCGTCGTCGTCGTCGTCGTCGTCGTCGTCGTCGTTGTAGCATTCCTCGTCACCGTTGTCGCCTTCGTCGTCATCGCCGACGTCGTCGTTGTCGTCGTCGTCAGCGGCTCGCAGCGGAGGCTCGCCGTACACCCGCCGCCGCCTTCGCGCCCCCTCCCCGTGCGGAACCAGCAGCCAGGCGGCGCCCCGCGAGATGGATTGAGAAGGGTGAGGGTGAGATTGGAGGGGGGAGGGGGGGGGCAAAAGGGAGGGGATGTTGATGCTAGTGATCCTGGTTCTGATTGTGATGTTGGTACTGATGCTGATGATGGTGATGCTGCTGATGATGATGCTGATGATGATGATGATGATGACGATGCTGATGCTGATGGCGACGACGCAGATGCTGTTGTATTTGCTGTCTGTAGTGATGATGCTGCTGATGATGATGATGCTGATGCTGCTGCTGCTGATACTGATACTGACGATGTTGATGATGATGCTGATGCTGATGCTGATGACGACGATGATGATGATGATGCTGCTAATGATGATGATGCTGGCGAGGGTGGTGGTAAGTGTGATGATGCTGATGATGATGCTGATGATGATGATGATGATGATGATGATGATGATGATGATGAGGATGAGGATGAGGATGATGATGATGATGATGATGATGATGATGATGATGATGATGATGATGATGATGATGATGATGATGATGCTGATGCTGATGATGATGATGATGATGATGATGCAGCTGATTCTGATATTGCTGGTGCTTGCAATTTCGAGTTGCGACGGTGATGGCAATGGTGATAATGGTGATCACGCTGCTGATGCTAGTGCTGCTGATGACGATCCTGATGCTGATGAAGATGATGCGGGTGCCGCTGCTGATGATGATGCTGATGCTGCTGATGATGCAGATGATGATGGCCGTCGTGCAGGTGGGTGTACGCCCAAGACTCATCAACGATGTTGCAATCAACCCTTCCTCCAAATATCCCCTTGGCAGGTCCCCGCGCGGATTTTTTTCACTAAGGGAATTGCCCTGTTCGAAGACAGCGGTTTGAACATACTGAACCGTGCCAAACCACCATTCTTGGGTCGGCAACGCCGCGACGCACCGTGACTGCTGCGCCCTGACGATCGAGAACCGTGCCAGAAAACCGTTCCTGAGATTAAACAAGCGAACCAACTTGACGGTTGCGCGTTGGCAGCTCGACGCCGTGTCAAAACATCGCTCCTGAAGCGTCAACCAAACGACCCGTTGATCTTGTTGTGCAAGCTTGCGGCGAGTGTGCGCGGTGCTAAGGCGAGGGCCATGTTTTGCAACGGCGCCGTCCTCCGTCCGTGGAGCTCTTGAACACTTCTGCGACGATCCTGCGCGGCGCTGAGGCGGGAGCCGCCCTCCTTGCGTGGACCTCTTGCAGAGCTTTAAGGCGAATGTGCGCGGCGCCAGGGCGAGAACCATATTCTGAAGCGGACCCGTCCTCCATCTGTCGAGCTCTTGCAGAGTTTTAAGGCGAATGTGCGCGGCGCTAGGGCGTCGAGAGCCATATTCTGAAACGGGACCGCCCCCCCCATCCGCGAAACGCCTGCAGACTCTTACAACAATTGTGCGCGGCGCTCAGGGGAGAGTCATATTTTGAAAGGGACCCGCCATCCATTAATGAAACAGTTGCAAATCTTTTGCCCCTGCTTGTCGCTCGAGCTGATTCTTGCTTGGCACCTGATGATTAAATCTCCGCCCTTCTCGCGCTCCCTGATCCCAGCGCTGTAGCTGATGACCTCGGGCGCTAGCTTTGGCTTCCACGCCTTGACCCCAGCACTGTAGCTGATGACCTTGGGTTTAGCTTCGCGTTCCACGTCTCGCTGGGTGGCGATAGGGGCTGCTGCCACGGCTCGCGCTTCTCGTACGCGCCGCTTCCATCGGGTCCCAGCTTTACTTCAGCTTCTCGCATGCCCTGATCCCTTCTATAGCTGGCGATCTCGGGCTTTTCTCTTCGCCACCCACTTGTCTTTTTCTTGCAATGCCAGCGCCTGCTGCCACTGCTTGCCCTTCTCGCCATGACGAAGCCTGCTGTCACAGCCTGCCGTGGTGGTCAAGCTGCTCCTCGGTTTGACGTCTCCCGCACGAGCTGGCCCCAGCACTATAGCTGATGACGTTGGCTCGCGCGTTCTCGCCGTACCCACGCGAACAGGTCCGGGTTCTGTAGCTGGTGACGTTGGCCCGCGCGGGCTTGCGTTTGTAGCACGGTCGGCTCCTGGCGCTGTAGCTGATGCTGGCGGCCCGTGCCTCGCTTCTCGCATGGTAGCGGATGACGTGTCGCTCGTTCTTGCGGCCACCGCCTGCCTTTTCGCACTGGCAGCTACTGCTGTCACTGCCTGCTTTCTCGCACCGACAGTCCACGCTGCCACTGCCTGGCTTCTCGCGCGAGCTGGCCCAAGCAGCGGTGTGGCTCATTCGGTTGGTTCGCCTTAAAAGCGCCCTGGGCTTTTTTCAAAGCGTTTTCTACTCTGGGCTTTTGACAGGCTGAAGACGGTAAAAAAAACAACGCTACGTTTTTTATAGCGTTTTCAGGGCCGTTCTTTAGGCGTTGGTTTGGAGTTTTTTTTGTGTGTGTGTGTGCGTGTGTGTTTCAGGCTGATTGCGCTAAACCAGTGTCTAAAAACGCTAAAACAACGCATCATGTTGTAAAGCGTTTTTGTTTATTTCTTTTTTTGTTGAGACCTGAAAGCGCTGAAGCCATGCTTTCCAAGACAGCCCACGCTGTCACAGCCTGTCTTCTCACACACGTGCACATCGGGGCCGGGCGGGGGTAGGACTTTTAATCGTCGTGCTGAATCCGCCTTTTTCTTTTCTTGCATGGGCCTCGGACATAATTATTAGCCCTCAGGTCGGCGAGCCAGGAAGAGGAGGAGGTGGAGGAGGAGGTAGAGGAGGAGGAGAAGGATGAGGAGGAGGACGGGGGGTCAGGAGGAGCATGAGGAGCAGGAGGAAAATGAGGAGGATAAAGGAAAGTTGGAGGAGGGATGAGTGGGGAGAGGGGGAGGAGGAGAGGAGGAGGAGAAGGAGGCGGAGGAGTGGAGGTGGAGGGAAGGAGAATGAGTAGGAGGGGAAGTGGGGGTGGACACAGGCTAAAGGCCTTTAGCTGGCGCCTAATGAGGGGACCGAGGGCAGACTTGCCAGAGCGCCTGTGAGGGTGGCTGCGAAACGGTGCGGTGAGCCGGGCGCGTGGGTATCAGGGGCATGGAAGCAGGATCGGGACTCGAGATCGGAACGGGCAGAATGGTGACGAAGCTTCGAGAAAACGCATTCACGGGTTGGTGCGCGCAGATTTGCGACGGGTCCCGTTGCCGTGCGGAATCGGCGCGCTCCGTTGCCAAATCAGGAGGCATGGGCTTCATGTGTCTGGGGGGGCCTTCCCCGATACATGGATTTGGCGTTAGCGCGCCAGATCCACGGATCCCTAATCCATGTCAGCGTGTGTCCGAGACCGACAGCAGCTCCTGTCCATGTCGAACGCGGCTCGCTGCCGGTGTCGTCGCGGGCTGAATGTCGCCTGCCCAGCAGCGGCCGCTGCTTCAGACAAGATTGTGTGTTAGGCATCGTATTAATCTTTCCCATACCCATTTCGGGCGTGCCACGAGGGGGTGTGGATCAGGGGAGGGTGATCATGATCGAGGCCATGGGAAGCATGCGGTACCGAAAGTGGCTCGTGTCTCGGTAGCGCCACCCGCTTCTGCCCCATGCTTCAGCGCGTCCCCATATCTGGTGGGGCCACGATGCGCTGACCCTCCTTCTCCACGCCCCGACAGTCTTGAAGGCCGAAGAGAGAACGATACAAATGGGGACCAGGGCCGACGGCAGGTGCTGATTATTTAATCGCTTCGCTCATTCCGCCGGCCCGTATTGGTGCACGGCTGTCGAGTGCCCGTGTGATCGTTGTCAATGGGGTGCTGCTGGGTAGTTTTTTTGTTTATGGATGGCTGGCTTTGCGTGATTTCGCAGGCGGGAACCATTCTTTGCCCGCCTGAACCTTCTGTTTCGGAAGGTGGCGGCTCGTGAATACGATCTCAGGGAACCAAACAACATTCTGCAGTTTCCTTTTTACATTCTTCGGGCCCCTTGTCGCTTGTTGGGGCCTCTTAGGAGCCTCTTGGGGCGTCCAGGAGGCCTCTTGGAGCGGAAGGCTCGGATTTTCGGTTCGTGGTCTCCATCTTGGGCCTCTCTTGGGGTCCTCTTGGGGTCCTCTTGGACCGTCTTGGGCGCCTCTTGGGCTGTCGTGGGGCTCTCTTGGACGGTCGTGGGCCTCTCTTAGAGGCCTCTTGGGCCGTCTTGGGGTGGTCTTGGAAGCTTCTTAGGCCGTCTTGGAGCGTCGGAAAGGCGAAAAGGCGAGGAAGCCAAAAACCTTGAAAAACCCGATGGACATCAATGTTTTTTCGCGCTCTGAGGCTTCGTGGACGTTCATTGGGACCTCGTTGGATGCCTCTCGAGGGCTTCTTGGAGACTCGGGTGTCGTTGTCGAGCCTCTTGGGGTCTCTTTCGGGCCCCTTGTCGCCTTTTGGGGCCTCTTGGGGGCCTCTTGGAGCCCGACGGCAGGTCCTGTTTATGTTTCGGGGAAGCGCGAACACGGGTTAAGGCGCGGTGATGAACGGCGGGTCCCATTCCCATACGAAATCGACGCGCTCCCTCGCCAAATGAGGTCGGGGGCAGCTTCCCATCCTGGGATCTGGCGCCCACGCGCCAGATCCACGGATCCCCAATCCACGCCAGCGCGTGCCCGAATGTTGGGCACGGCCCGCTGTCGGCCCGAGGGCGGCCCTGGCCCGTCTGGGGGCTACCATCGACCGCCCAATAGCAGGTGCTGTCTACGCCCCCAACCGCCCCGAGGTCCGGAAGGAGGGCAGAGGACTGACGAGACGGATGTCGGCACGATCGACTTGGGTGCCGCTAGAAGGGGCACGGAGAGGCTCGCTGTCCGTGCCGCCGCAGGCGTTGTCCATCTGAGGCGGGAGGGCCGCCTGCCCAGCAGGGCTCGTTTCGATTCCTCCGATTCAATTGATTCGATTTCGATGGTTTCCGATTCCGATTCGATTCGATCTGGGATTCCGATTTGAGTTCCGATTTCTTATGGGAGGCATACTAGCCTGCCGATTTCCGCCGATCCGACTTTTCCCGACTCGGCT